TACAAGGCCTTCAACGTCCTGAGCGTGCAGGATGTCGCTATCCCCTTTGTAGACTGCGCATACGGCAAAGACAAGGGCAAGGGTGTTAGCTTCGACTTCAAGTTCGATGGAAAGACCATCTCTGTTCCCATGAGCGAGATGGTCATCGATGCCTTCCCCGACAAGCAAGAAATCTTCGACGACCCTCAAGTCTCTTCCTACTTCGATGATTGGGACAGCGTCTGTATGTTTGGAATCAGCCCTGTTAGTCAGTATGGTCTCACTGGGGGCGTTACTCTTCTCGGAGACACATTCCTGCGTTCTGCCTATGTTGTTTATGACCTGGCAAATGAACAGCTGGGCATCGCTGAGGCGAACCACAATACTGACGAGTCAAACGTTGTTGAACTCAAAGAGAAGGACACCAAATTCCCAGATGTTACTGGTGTCGAGGGTGAGTCATCTTATTGTGTCCGTCTCATCCTTCTTCACTCCTCAACTAACACGTTTATAGGCACCTCCAGTTCTGAAGCCGACGACAATGCTGCCCGTCATTTGTCTCCTGCTTCCATGCTGACGCTCATCGTGGCTGCGGGTATTGCATTGACTCTCTCGTAAGCATGAGAATAGACTGGCAATGGGAGAAGAAGATGAAAGCCAGCGTCAGACACTGCAAGTGAGTTCGCGCATGTACATAGAATCCAAGGCACTGGCTTCTTCAAGTCCTATATTCAAAAATGATACCCATTAATTCAAGATGTGCACCTGTCGTTGGCATGTCGAGCTTCATCCTCAGTCCCATAGCAAAATTCTGAACGCCTTTACCTGTCTATGTATATCCCAGTCCACAATTACATGGCCTTTGTGTCAACATCTCAGCCCATCTTGTTGTATCGTTCCCGTGCCCTGTCCTGCACCGTGTTCACATATTCGGCGTAACTGTTCTTTGTCTTACGCTCAGCCAATTGCGCTGCGTCGCCAAGATTGCCCCCCTCTGCGCCCAATCCAACGCCCTCCTGGTAAGCATTTGTCTCGATGACCTCGGTACGCCCATTCCCATTGGCTCCGAGACCTGCACCGGTTGACCATCCCATCTTGGCCAGCATACCTGCTCCCTTGGACTGAGCGGGCTTCGGAGGGGGCGCAGCCTCTTCCGCCTTTGGGCCCGACTTGAGTTTACCCTGTGGTGGGGCTGTTGGCTTGGTGGGCTGATTGAAGGCAGCTCGCCTCTCTTTAGCACGGTCGCGATATTGCGATGTCGCAGCTGCTGAGTCGGGGTTCTCTTGGGCCTGTTTCTGAAGTCTCTTGTCGCGTGCTGCTAATCTAGGCAATGCCGCCTTGACCTGTTCTTCGTTTTCCATCGCGTTCCTGTGGTTTCGAGATTTTTCATGAATGTTAACTTCATCCACGGATTTGTACTTGCGCATGCAAATCAGGCACATCAATCGATCACGATCGACATAAGAGACTGGTGCATCTCCAGAGGCTGAAGTCGCCTGCGTCGTGCTGCCGGGAGTACCCGCTTCATCTGGTGAGCCCTGCTTGCTGGGAGCTGCATGCTCTGGAGGACCAGGTTTCTGTGTCCCTGAAAGTGAGATCTTAATAGCACTCTGGGGTCTCGATGAGTCTCCTCCTGAACCTGACAGGTTTATGCGAAGTGGGGTCCGATTCACATCGCTGAACTCAGCCTTGTCCTGTCGTGCCGGTCTAGCATCTTTCTCGACGCGAAGCTCATCCCTCTTGCGCTGCCACATGGCCATTTGGCCCGCCATCATTGGCACAGACTTCTTCGTGGAAGCAGCAGCGAGACTTCCCTCTGCTTTGCGCTTCTTTGACTTCTTATCGTTGCCATCCTCCTCGGTTGTTTTTGAGGCCCCCTCACTTCCAGGAGGCTGCTCATTAACAAGCTGCGGGCTCGGATACACATGGTAGTCTCGGTAGCGAACACGAAGGTTAGGGTTGAGCAAGGGTCTGAACGACAGGTGCTCGATTTCCGGTGTAACTTCGCGCTGTTCAGGCAAGAAAACGCCCATATGAGTGCTAGATACTGTCACTGGGCATGCTGCAACAGTAAACGATCGAGATTTGTGGAACTTGGTCATCGCGGCCGATGCATCTTCCACCGTCCAGAACTCAGCAAACCCATATTTAAAGGATTCGTTCGTGTGCGCGTCACGCATAAGGAAGACTCGATGAAGGGAACCAGGCCGAGCGCCGTAACCTGTCGTGTCACCTGTCGGGGCTGTGGACTTCAGTTTGGGTGCTCCATTAGACGTATCCTTGGTCTGGTTAGGCTTCACAAGCTCAAGTCGCTTCATGTCTTCGGCTAGCATATCTTCAGTCACAAACGATGCCAAGGGGTAAACAACAAGGATTTGTGCGGGTGTATCCGAAGCATCTGCCATGCCTGTGAGGCTCAATTGCCAGGCTGGGGCTAGAACTTCAACGTCAGCTTCCATCATCACTAGAATGTTCGCTCAACTTACCAGCTTGTGGACCGCCACAAATCTTGCATTTGGTTCGGGTAGAATAGTTGGAAAAGTCACACTATCTGGTTAGTGGTCGTGTAGCTGAAGCTGTGGGAGCAAACCTACAGTTGGACAGATCCAGTCACCACTGGGAACTCCCCGAACGTCGGCTTCCTCGCGCGCATCTCGATTCCGAGCGTAATGGATGTACGCATCGAATCTCCCTTCTGGGACGTCATCAGTGGAATGCGTCATCTCAACAAGAAGCTTTGGATAATGTTCTCTCATAAAAGCAACAGCATGGTCAACTTCCTGGAACTGCACAAACGCTCTGCGATTTCCTGTTCGTGCGTATCAGCAACAGAAACGTGAAATAGCAAGCACATTTTACTGACCCTTGGAAGCGGAAACGCGCACGTCAATCGAGGGGAACTCGGCGGCAACTGAGTTGCTCAAGATACTGTCGCGCAGCTATAGGCGGTGGAATTAGTCTTGAGAACTGGCATCAACTGGTTTCAAGGAATATTTTGCGCCGCTGGTGCCATCTCTAATTGAGGACATATGCAAAGGACAACTGCAGAATTTGTCCGTCCTCCAAAGCAGGAGGCTCGAATCCATTAGGCCCAGAAGCCTGCATTTGGTTCTTGTAACAATTTGCTTAGACCAATAGGGTACCAACCTCGTTCGACGATATACTGAAAGGCAGGCCTTCAAGAATGACGGTGTCGCTAGGCTTGCCAGCATCTCGCGTTGGGCTGCCGGAGCGACCGCGATTATGATAGCTTCCAGACGGAGACTGTGATCGTGGATCATCGCCGTCGCGGTACCGTCCTCTGCCACTCCGCTTGTCGCCCTCATGACGTCGTTGCTCTTGTTCGTTGCTGTTGTCTACGTAGCCATCATCATACATGCCTCGGTAGTCATGTTCGTCGCGAGAGTTGTGGCGCGCTTCTCGAGATGCGTCGCCTCTTCTCGAGTATCCATCATCGTGACGGCCAGACCGGTTGTCGTAATCGTGGTCGTGGTCCCTTTCGTCATCCCGGTATCGAGAATTTCTCTCTTGAGGATCGTCGCGGAAAGCTTGCTTGGGCGGAGACCTGGAATGATCTCGCCGTCCCGTGGGGAAGTTAGCTATGAGGCTCAAATCATCCATGAAGGTCCTTCTCGAGTTTCCCATCTCTGCCTGAGGCTCGGGTTATGTGTTTACCCTGCCGCGATCGGTAGCCGGCATCTCGGTCTTGAAATTCGTCGCTCATGTTCATCTTGGTTTGCTAGTCGTCTTCGAGCGATCGGGGGATCGCATTTGGTGGTCGTCGCGCACAGCAGCTTCGGCTAACGCGGTATCCTTTGTCAAGTCAAGGCGATTTTGGATTTAGAAGCGGTTGAAAGTGAAAAGATGGGGGCAGAGAAGGGTTTAATTATGATGAAGATTGTATGAACGAAAGTCAAAAAGTCAAGGCAGCAGGGAGGAATAAGATGTTGAAGTGGGGCTTAGTCATCGCGATGTATCACCAGCGAAGAACTTGGGCAGGCAATCATACCCAGTAGGTACCTAGCTGGAGAAAGTGATTAGGCACAGAAATCAGATACCTAGATCAAACCAACATCTACTGTTGGTACCTAGTAATTTCTGTTGGCTTCGCCAACCATAGTAGTCTCAAATAGTATGGCTTGACTTCTGACCCTTATACAAACCAAGCCCACTCTTGATAGTACTACTCCGAGATATAAACTCATTCTCATCTCATCTCATTTCTCCTCCAACATTTGATCAAGTGAAAATGTCAACTCAAGAAAAGGCCCAAGATCTCTGGGAACTATCAGAACAAGACTGCTACGTCGCTCTGACTCACGATCATCTCAATGCCCAGGCCATCATGGACCGGGTGCGCAGCCCCTCAGCTGGCGCAATCGTGCTATTTGCAGGTAATGAGTTCTTATCTCACAGGCCTTTCTTTGTCCACGCCGATACTGACCAAGCCCAGGTACTACCCGCGATAACTTCGCAGGAAAGCCAGTGAAGGAGCTACAGTATACAGCCTATCACCCCAGAGCTCTCAAGTCCATGATGGCCATTGCAAAGGACGTTCGCGAGAAGCATGGTCTCCGCGGGGTAGCCATGATCCATCGCCTCGGTCCTGTGCCTATCGCAGAAGAGAGCATATTAATCGCCGTCTCGTCACCTCATCGACAAGCGGCGTGGCGAGCTGGTGAAGAGGCGTTGGAAGAGTGCAAATCCAAGGTTGAGGTTTGGAAACGTGAGGAGTTTGAAGGTGAGGAGGGGGTATGGAGAGCAAACCGAGACGGAGCTATCGGACAGCGTGAAGAAAGCTGATGCCATTTCACGCCAATTGGAAGCAAACTAAATCTTTTGAAAATTCATCTTCTTGAAATCAATCATCAATATTCAGGTGCTACTACTCTGTCTGGCATGACGGATCGCTTTGCCTTGCCTCTGAACCACCAACCAACGCTACCATGCTCCAGGCGTCCCACTATCGCCAAAACTAATTCCAATAATACACAGAAAACATATTTTTGTCTTTAGAAGCATCACAACTCTATCTTTGGTGTTTCCTTCTGGTAGGCAGGCGGAGGTTCTCGTATGAGCTCAATGGGACATCGGGGAGGGTATTTGATCCCGCGCGCTCCACCATACATCACTATCGCTTGTGTAAGTACTAACGAGCGGACGGTCTGAGACGGGGACTTATACATACCGATGTGTCCATTGTAAGCCTCGGTAAACGTAACGTCCATGTTAAGGCCTCGAATATCGATGTCTTCTGTGAATGCTGTGGGATAGACGATGATACCGTATTCAGCATGGAGGACTCGCCAAAACGATAGAGGAAGTCTGAGTCCAGTCAGTTCACTTCTCATGTGTGCTGCAGGGAGTGAACTGCGTACTTGTACTGATTGTGTCTGATGCAAGCGTGAACAAACAAGCACACAGTCTCGAGAACCAAGTGCCCATCATTGATAGCGTCATCCAGTTCATCAGCTGCGAGGTCATGCACCCGTTGAAGACGCTCCTTGGAGTATTTCATGGCAGTTTTCCACCCCTTGGCGATTTTGTCGAGGTCTGTAACTGGCCACGCCTCCATTTTTTCTGATTTTGTTCCTTCAGTTGGGGGTTTGAAGACAGCAAGCAAATGGTAAGGTGGTGTAAGTGGTTTCTGTTGTGGTTGTTGCACTATTCTCCGCCTACCAAGAGCTCGTGGTAAGTAAGTATCTGAAGACTTGAGAAATGATAAGTAATTGTGAATGAGAGAGAATGTTTTTGGGCATTGACAAGTTGAAGTTACTCAATTGCGAGAACCTCTTTGACTCGAGTATCCAATTCCTGCCTGCCTACCTTAGTTACCTATTCTTTTCAGGTTCTTCTCACATAATAAGTCAGGGACCATCAAGGTGTCTCCTCCTGCCTCCACGCCATACGCTATCACGGCCATACCTTAGCTTAAGATAATCATCAATCACCAAGACAGCCTCCAAGGTCCTCATAACTTATTCCACCTTGTCCATTTAAGTTAATGTAATTCTCCAATCACGATCCTTGAACGTGCGTGTATCTTGATTAAGCGTGGGGTCCATCATGACTTTACGTGAGGGGGAGGGGCAATCTCGTGAACCCTTCTGGCCACTTCCTCATAGTTGTCATGTCATCATGCCATGCCGACTCCGATCACGGGGTCTCAACTAGTTTTGCGATGAATAGATATGTACTATAAGTGCTAAGATAGTAGATACTAGGTAGATAGTAGATAGGGTATCGATATTATAGCTGAGGCTCAATTGCCTAATAACTCATACAGCCAAGGCACCTCCAAAAGTACCTTGGTAGGTTGGTATATATAAACTAGGTCATCAGAAAGTCAGATCGCTCATGGTATCTCTTCACTCCATCTCCATCAACCCAACACAGTCCATAATATTACAAGCCTCTAAACACATCCACACAATCCTCCCTTCTTACAAAGCGTAGTTTTCGGTATGTAAGAAGATCTCTTCAAGCTCATCATCTCCCCAGATCTCCGCCTGGAGTCGGGCAACCGTATTGGCAACACCAACTCTCATAGATGGTGGGCCACATACGAAGACTGCCGTGCGTCGGCCAAGGATGCCTCGTCCATCGACACCTCCTGTCGCCCATTCCTTCAACATGTAGCCCAGGTCAGGACGGCCATACTCAACGCTCCATCCTCCATCGATCTGATGAGGCACAGGGAACGCGAAGCGCATCAGACTCTTTTGAAACTCAGTTGGGGTTTGGGGGAAGCCGAAGTCAAAGCCAGATGGGGGGCCAAAAGTTGATGTCGGTCGCGGTCTTCCGGCCTCAGGGTTGGCTGTCCTCAGGTGGGCAAGCTCAGGAGCCCGAACTGGGAATGCTTCTTCTTCCGTAGGGAACGACTCTGGAAGTCTTCTAGGAGACCTTGGCGCGTAGTTAAACTGAGGTGGATTATCTTGCTTAATGGGTCTGAAATGGAACTCCGGGTCGTTTTTAATGGGTTCCTCGCTGTCCCCAAGAGGAATCTTCTTGTCCTCGGGATAGCCGTGACCCTCAAGCCTCCTCAGGGCCTCGTCTTGGTTAGTAGGAGGTGGTCCCGGAGGAGGAGGAGGAGGGATTGAGTGAGGTTGCAGGTACTTCTGCTGAGGGAGGGCTGTGATACGGTCCTCGTCCTCGGCCCGTAGCTCCCTCTCACGCTCGGGGTCACCCTGAGCCTCGGATTGGATCAGGGCAGAGTTTCTCTTGGAAGCGATGCCCGCAACAAAACCATCGAGCTTGTCATGGAACATATGACTCAAAGCTCGGGGTCCATTAGGACCGCCAGGGCCGACCTGACTGAAGGGTCCTGGCCCTTCCATGCCTGGTCTCGCTCTCACCGCAGATGTTACGAAGAACTTGCAAGTAACGCTCTCGGGGGGAGCGGCCTCGCGACAAATTCGCAGTTCTTCTCTGAACCAATCCATAGCTTCAAGTCGCTTCAGAGCCCAGACGACAACAACCTTTTTGGTAATGGCCTTGCCATCCCTCATTCTCTTGATGAGGTTGAGGAGCTGTGACACAAGGGCAGTGATACCACTGCCGCCGGCAATCAGGATGCAGGTGTCGAAGGCAGCTAGATCGCGGCGCATACCGCCATAGGGGCCGTCAAGAAAAGCACGGTAGGTATGGAATGGCCCTTTCTCGATGGCAGTATCAAGCACCTTGCGTGTAAATCCACCATAGGGCCTGAACACCAGAGTACAGTCCCGGTATTGTTCGCCGTACTCTGATGGGAAGTCATCGCTGCAGAGCGATGAAATGGTGAAAGGATGATTCTCAAAGATGGAGATACCAGGCATACGAAGATAAACGTATTGGCCAGGCTTCCATTTCATCTGCGTTGGGATTGTAACTTTGATGGCGTTCTCTGCCATAAGAGTAATAGCGGCCTCGTCTCCAACCATGAAAGACATACGCCAAGGCTTGAGCCAGTTAAGCTTGAACAGCCTTATGAAGTAACAGAATGCCCAGATACCTATTGTTGCATAAAGGTAGGCCCACGACATGAGGAAGTTCTTCGTGTGCCAGAAAAGGAGACCAACGTAGACTATTCCCACGGGTACATGGAGAACCACAAAGATCTCGTAGGCTGTTCTCCTGATGAAAGGCAGTGATGCGACGCATAGCCAGATAAGGGGTACAAGACAGGCGATGCCAGTGCCATAGATGATGCCACTACCACCGGGAAACAAGCGTTGAAAAACCTTCATTCCACCGTCATCCCATACGGGCTGAATATAAAAGGGAATGGCGTGGACGAGGGATAGGAACAGGCAGAGGTAGCCTGCCCATCGGTGGAAAACATTAAGCCGCTCGGGGCCGATGCCAATGATAGCAGTAAGGATATTTGCCTTCATGCTAGTTGCGATGATCCACGGTGTCAAAGCAATCGAAATCATGCCAGCTCGAATCGCCAGGGGAGGTGATCCGAACTGAATGCTCTGCCAGTATAGAGGCTGTTGCAGGAAGCAATAAAGGACGACGAAGGCGAGAGTAATGAAGACAGTAGTAAGAACTGCCAGTGATGAGAAGGTGATTCGGCGTTTTCCAATCACCAAGTCCGGGATAGGACGGTAAAAGATCCATCGAAATAGAGCCAAGGTATCATTGATGATATTAACAGAGGAGAAGTGTGCTTTCGGTCTGAAGTTTTTCTCGCCTATCATTTCATGACCTTCCGGGAAGAACTGTTGGCTCTGGGCACTGCGCATACCGGACATGGCTTCAACCTCGGCATTATAGAGGTTTTGGTAGTGCTCCTCGACCTCCTGTTTGTAAATAGCTTGTCGAATCTTGTCCTGCCAGAAGTGCCAGACACGCATAATGAGAACAGTGCCCATCAAGGCGAGGGCGAAATAGGACCATCCTCGGCCATATTTTCCAGACTTCTCCCATGGGTCAATTGTATGCGCCTGAACTAAACCAGGAGGGCTTGTCGGTGTTAGGGGAATAGAAATACGCTTGATGAGGCCGGAGAAGGTCCTTGTGGCCTCGTCCATATATGAGTTGGGAGCCATTTCGACCAGCGTTAAAGCTCAGTAAATTTTGGTGGTATTTGGCGACAGAGCGCGGAACAGGCTTTTTAATTCGACATCAACGGCGGCGATTTCGTATATTCTTATGCGTGTGATTTAAGTAAGATGAGACCAAGGGCATAAGACGGCAACTTGGCTGATTGGTGTTTCGAATCCTCAATGGACGGCGATCTGTTGAGTTGCGCCCAGGTGAAACAGTCGATCGGCTCAAATCGAAGAATTCCAGACTCTCCGATTAGAGGTACAAAGGCAATAACACAGATGATAAACGAAAGGATGCGAACGCCTTGAACTTAGGGTATTGGGAAGCAGGGTCTTAAGACGGGGAGCTACAGTGGAGTCTAAATGGGCATGCGGCCGAATATATGGCCTCAGGCGATCGGATCCTCACCGTCGAGCGGACAATGGTATAGCTGCAGAGGTAAGGCTCAGCAAACATATTGCAGCTGGTGGGTGGCTCTTGTGATACGGCGGCGGCAAGCATGTCACTACTGTGCAGGCAGACAGGGATGGGAAGAGGTGGAATTCAAGATTGACATGCGGGAAGAGTCTGTGCAGAAACGAGTCAACACAAGGACCAGCGGCTGACGGAGCTCTGATATTGGCCAGCTCATGAAATGCCGTCTCCCCATGAGTGGATCATTCGGCTGTCACACAGCCGCGAGCTGGCGTGGTTGAGAGAAACAGACGCAGGCGGGGTGATGAAAGTGGGTGACATACAGGATTAAGAGGTCAATCCATAATGAGAGAAACACGATGGCGGGATGTGGATGTTTTCTTGTTGAGGGGACCGGGATGCAGGCTCTAGGTCTGCATGTTAGCCGGGGATCATCATCAACGATGGCTGGGGCATGCTATTGTTTCTCTGCTCGAAACTCTGTAATAGTGAAAAGTTGTTTCTTAGACAAACGCTTCATTGCGTCTTTCCGAAGACTGCTGTGATGTTGTGATGAACGCTATAATAGCTTCACAATTAAATGAGACCTAGCGCTTGCTGTACGGGACGAGAAATTAGCATTGTGATAATATAGCTGCCGAATGTTTAAGCTCTCAACGGCTGTTGGCTCATCCACAACCACGGGAAAGATGAGCGTCTGAATAAGGCTCAGGATTGGGTGCTGGAAACTCCCGACACATCTGGCCAAGATGTTCCTGGCACTCGTGCCGTGATCCAAACACTTGCTTGAGCCATCTGCGTTGATCTATCCCCCCTCCAAGAACGGGTAATTGCTCTTAGAGGCCGCTGATGGACTTGGGGGCTGAATGGTAGTCTGGAGGAGAAGCAGCCAGGGTGGAGTCTTCAAGATGTAACGCTGTGATGAGATGCGATAGGCTAACATGATTGGCCGACAGACGCAGTGACGATCCTTGCAGATTTCGATGGCTTCTTCAACGGGCGGTAACAGGCGAGTTCTGATTCGCTCTTCGAGGTGATTAGCCTTCTGGAGATTTAATCGCATGTGTCCTTCGATTCGTGCACCGCTTCCTTCTTTCAAAGCCTCGAACCTCATTCGAGGATTCCCTTGTTCATATCGGGCATTTAGAATCTCAAAGTGGTCGAGAATCATCCGAGCGTAATATGATGGGCCAGGAACGGTTTGCGTCAATGTTGAAAGAGTCTTTAGTCGTTCGATGATGTATCGAAAATGCCTGGACCAACAGAGAGTCGCACGACATCGTCATGGCCGTTAAGCGTGTTGGTGATATGTTGCCTCCCTCCCATGCACAGTTTCTGCGGACCGCGGCGGGATAAATGCCATGATGTGAGGGGACCAACAAAGGATCCAAGCTCCCTGTCAAATTTTGCTGTCGCCGTTGCCACGCCTCATGGACACCTGGCGATGTACAGCAAGTATCGGATGAGACGGAATATGTTGTTGGTGATGTTGGTTGATTTGTGCTTCTTGTGACTGTCGATCTTGACGGCGTTGTTGGTGATTGAATTTTTGACAGTGGGTAATGTAACGGGGACACAGGTCGGCAAGTTCCTCATTAGGAATATAACGAAGAGCATTCTCAATACGGAAGTTGTGATATTGGAAAGTGAAATTCCATCAATCTCTCAGCCAATATGGCTAAGAAGTACTCCGTAAACTACCTGTAATCATTAAAATTGGTGCAATGGAGCAATAATTGACGCCCGTCAAGTGCATCAATAGATAAAAAAGCCAGTTGTAATATCCCACTGAGCCAAATAAAATAGTATTTTGTCAAATGTATTGATATCGCCAAGTGTCTCAATACAAATATACTTTGGGTACCTTAACTTACCCTGCGTTGGAACTTGAGATCAGTCAGCCTTGCGCCTGGCAGAGCCTATCTGACTGGCCAGAGCTCAACTGAACCCCACCAAGGACCCCACGAGGCTGCGAACATCTCTCCAACTTTTCATCATCCGTTTCTCATATCAACAACCGACTACGGTCGAAACCCAAACTGACAATATTTCTGATCGACGGTTCAGTTCAACTCACTACTATGACATATACTAAGGGACTCACAAGGACGACTTTCGCCAAGCTGTCACCTCACCCGTATCTGCTTGCCAGTCTTGATCCCGCCTCTGATGATGTCCGCCCAGCTCGAAGTAACGGCCGAGCCCGAAACGAATCTCGCAAGCCAACAGTCAACTTAGCGAGCTTGTCACACGCTCATGGGAGTGCTGTTGTTCGCGTCGGTGACACTACCGTCATTTGTGGTGTACGAGGCGAGACTATCTTAACACCCAACATCCCGAATTATCGTGCCTCCAATACCGAGACCGAGTTGAAAGACTACGACCTCCTGGTGCCCAACATTGAGCTTGCTACGGGTTGCGCTCCTCAGTTTCTGCCAGGTGGCCCACCAAGCACTCTTGCCCAGACTCTCAGCACGCGCATATACTCCCTTCTTCACAGCTCCAGAATCATCAAGCCTGACGACTTGCGAATATGGCATACACCACTATCTGAAGACCTCGAAGATCGCATGGAAGAGGACGGAGAGGACACAAGCAATGAGAACCGATCCGTTGTGGCTTACTGGGTGCTCCACATTGATATATTTTTCATCTCATTTGATGGAAACCCATTTGACGCCGCATGGGCTGCTACAATGGCTGCGCTACGAAACACGAAGCTTCCTGGAGCGCGATACGACATTGACCGAGAAATGATTATCTGCTCCCACAAGCAGCCCCGACCTCTCAACATCACCAACATTCCAATCGCATGCACAGCAGTTGTCTTTACCGGCAAAGAAACTGACCGACCCACTGACGGCAGGTTCTGGCTACTCGTTGACCCAGACAGACTCGAAGAGTCACTCTGCGACGAGAGTGTAACGGTCGTGGTGGATTGCAAGGACGGGGATATTAAGATCTTGTCTATCTCTAAGCATGGAGGAACTGCCTTGACGCCCCAGTTCCTCACGTCAGAGCAATTCTTAGGCTGGGCGACGAAGAGATGGGAGGAGTTCAACGCGGCCATCACCCAATCATAGATTAATGATACCCTAATGAAAAGACCTTGCATCACAGTTGCTCATAGATGTCCGTGGCTTTTACCATTACAAGCATGAACTATCGGTAAGTTGGATAAAGAAATGTGTCAAGGCCATTCGACCCACCCTTTCAGACTTTATTCTAGGGCAGGAGATACCGGAAGACAAATTGCTCTACCACTCATAAAGTGAGTAGTAATGAAACTACCACGCCACGAGCAATGTTTCGCCAGAAGAGGTAGACAATGCGTAAAGGGCTGAGCGGATGGTGAGGAAAAAAAGAAGAAAAGAAAGAGAGAAAAATCTCGGCCAATCCTTTTTCATTGCTGGGAGTTGAGGTGCACGGGCCAACTGAATTTATTTACGTACTGACCTCCACTGAGATGCTGACCTAGCAACCCTGCCCCACCTGAAATATTCTCCAAACTTCGCTCATCATAAAAAGGCTGATCAACTTCCTCTCCCTTCCTCTCCCTCTATCCTCCCAGTCTCAACCTCACCATGGAATCCCTCTCAGACACCCTATGGGATGTAGTGATCAGCGGCACTGGGCTACAACAGTCCCTCCTCGCCCTGTAAGCTTTGGATACCATTGTTGAGATGTTGCCTCGGTCGGACTGACCCAGTCTTCATTCTTGAAGAGCTTTGTCGCGTTCAGGCAAGAATATTCTACACGTCGACCCCAACGACTTCTACGGAGGCAGTGAAGCCGCGTTCAGCCTTCAGGAGATAGACGAGTGGGCTGAGAAGAATCGGTTGACAGACCCATCGCGGTTGTTCTCTTCTGCGGAGGTGAAGCGAGATGCGGACGCTTTAGGTGCCCCGCGATCCTATAGCTTGGCTCTCGCGCCGCAGCTGATACATTCGCGGTCGAAGCTGGTGACTCAGCTCGTCGACTCCAAGGCATTTCGCCAGATCGAATTTCTCGCTGTCGGTTCCTTCTACATCTTTCAGCCGCCTTCAGATTCCTCGTCGAAACCGTCGCTCAGTCGGATACCATCGACCCGTGAAGATGTCTTCTCCGACAAGTCTATTCCAGCTCGGTCCAAGCGGTCCCTGATGAAGTTCCTCAAGTTTGTGCTTGAATTTGATTCTGAGCCTCAGATCGATACATGGCAGGCGCGTGCTGATGAGGAGCTGGCACAGTTTCTGGCCTCAGAGTTCAAGCTCGATGCAGCCCTTCAATCCTACATCATCACACTGACGCTGAGTCATGATGGGAAAATTTCGGTCAAAGATGGCTTGACTGCCATCAACCGACATATGACATCGATGGGCGTTTTCGGTCCTGGTTTTGCTGCAGTTTATCCCAAATGGGGTGGATTGTCTGAGGTGGCTCAAGTGGGCTGCCGTGCTGCTGCGGTCGGTGGTGCAATATATATGCTGGGACATGGCATCAAGAATCTGAAACGATCGGACCAGCCCGATGCTCCGCTGGAGCTCTCATTCACAAATGATATCGACGTCAAGGCCAAATTGGTGGTCCAAGGCGCCGATGCAGC